TCCAAATAGCCGCTTCGCGGCGTTGCTGCGCGCCCTGCTGAGATGTCCCCTCGGCTCTGCTGCCCCCCCCCCCCCGGGATGCTGCGATGGGTTGCTTTTGCTTGGTGCAAGTCTTCGTCGAGGCGAGGCTGGGCGGCGCGGCGTCCAGGGTTTTCTTTTTCATTTCTAGGCCGTTGCCCTCGCTGCCTCCGCGGGTGGGGCAGGGTCCCGGCGGGGGCGGTGCCGCGCGGGGGCCCGTGCGCTCTCCGCACTCCAGTGCGGAGTTGTTCCGTCGCTGGCCTTATCGCGCGCGCTCCTGGCCCGTGCCAGACAAGGCGGCACGGGGAGGTTGCCCGCAGCTTGCAGCTGGCGCCGGGCAGCAACAACAACCTCCCGCTGAAGTGCAAGACCGAGGAGGCGGCCAGCAAAACTACCAACTACCCCCAAGGTATTCCAATGGGCCAGACCACGATCCAGGTCACCGCCCGGCACAGCACCTGACCCGACGCTCTTCCCGACGCCTTGATTTACGCCCTTTCCGACGCTCCAACGCCCTCCCCGACGCCCCGCCCGACGCTCAACCCCGCGCAGCCGCGGCGCCAGCACCGACCAGGCAACGGCGATGTCAACCAGGCCAGCCCCGACGCCAGCATCGAAACCAACACCGACGACAGCACCGACGCCAGCCACAACGCCAGCACCCCGGTCACCAGCAATTCCAGCACCGTCAGCGCCGACGCCAGCCTCGACACCAGCACCGAACGAGAAAGCCCAACGAGAGGCTCATAAGCGGGCCAGGCGCCAAGTTCCGCGCGAGACACCTGCCGCCCATCCCGACTCCCCCGAGCATCGGAGACGCCAACGCCGACGCCAGCATCGACGTCAGTCCTGTCGCCGGCACCCAAAACGGCACAGACGCATGCACCCGAGCCAGCACCCACGCCAGAAGCAACACCAGCAACGACCCAGGCACCGAGGACAGCACCGACGCCAGCAACGACGCCAGCACCGACACCAGTACCGCCAGCATCGATGGCAGCGCTGTCTCTAGCACCGACGCCGGCATCGGCACCAACCTCGAACACAGCATCGCCCCCAGCATCGGCATCGGCGCCAGCATTGACACGAGCATTGCCCCCAGCATCAACGTCAGCAGTTGATGTTTTACGCCAGCAATGACAAAAGCATCGGCGCCAGCATCGGAGACAGCGTGTACTCTAGCATCGGAACAAGCATCGACGCCAGCATCGACGCCGACATCGACTCTAGCACCGAAGCCCGCACTGACACCAGCACCGACGTCAGCGCCGACTCCAGCAACGACCAAAAAGTCCCTGCGAGAGGCCCAGAAGCGGGCCAGCCGCAAGACTCCGCGCGAGCCACCCGACGCCCTACTCGCGGCCCCTCCCGAGGCACCCCCCCCGACGCCTCACTCGATGTCCATCCCGATTGTCCCCAGGGCCACGGGCAACCGCCGCAGGCGGCCAACGTCGGCCACTCCGAAGACCACCACGACGGCCAACGGCAGGTACCACTGACGGCCACCTACGGCTAAACCAACGGCCACGACGCCAACACTCACCACCAACCACGGGCGCCCGACGCCCCACCCTACGCCCACCACGGAGGCGACTCGGTGCCAGACGGCCACCCCGACGTTCGCTGCAGCGTCATCTCTGACACCGGCACCGACGTCGAACCCGACGCCCCCCTCGACGCCATGAAGCGGCAGCGCGATCATGGGCGAGACGGGCAGCGCGACCTCGAGCAGCGCGAGGTCCACGGCCACCTCCACGGCGAGGATCGAGGCCATGACAGTGAAAACGATGAGTTCGTCGACGAGGTTCCCCCTGGCGCCCCCCACGATTGCCTGCGCGACGATCGGCGTGAGCTGCCGGCCGACGCCCAGGCCGACTAGCGCGCCGACTCCACCATCTGCCGCACCATCGACTCCAGCACCAACCAGTTCACCAACGCCAGCAGTTACTTCTCCTGAACCCCGCGGCTCCGCGGCCAGCGGTGCCCGCGCGGCCAGCTCGCCGCCTCCGGCGCCAACCAGATTCCCGAATGCAGCGCCGACCACGACGTCGCTCTCCCAGGGAATGCCCGTCTTCGCGGCCAGCGCCAGCCGCGCGGTTTGCAGCGCGAGCTTGGTCGAGACGAGATGCGCGCCTCTAAGCAGTGCGATCCCGGGAAAGGACGACGTCCAAGACAGCGCCCCCAACGACCCCAACGACAATAACCAGCAGCAGTGCAAGCAGCAGCGCGACCTCGAGCGGCGCGACGCCCACGGCCGCTTCAACGGCGAGCTCCGCGACGTCAGTCAGCGACGCCGCGAGTGCGAGTGCGATCGGGCAGGGCAGCCATCGGCGCCGTCACGACGACGATGGTCATCCCCGAGCCCGAGAGGGGTGCATTTCGCTGCCACCCTGCGCGACGCCCACCAACTAACGACGACCCTCGGGGACGGCCGCCACGACGGGCACCCTGCCCATTCCCCTAGGCGGGCGCGCGTCGCGGGCGCCTGGCCCGATGCGAGCTGCTTCCCCCTCGACTTCCCCCGCGGCGGGCGCGTTTCGCCGACGCCTTGCCCGGCGCTCGCGGCGCACCGCCCTCGGGATGTTACAACGATTGATCCAACGGCCCACTCCTTGGCCTCAGGATCCACTGCTACGCAGTGGCAGTCCCCGCCAGCCCCTGCCCGACGTCAACGCCCCCCCCCGACGAGTCTCCTGACCGCCCTCGGTGGCGGGTGCACTTCGACGACGCCCTGCCCGACTCCGACACCGACAAACCCAGACCAACTAAACCAACAAAGGCGGCGAGCCCGCCTATGACTACCGCACCTAAGCAGCTACGAGGTTCAGCAAGGGCTGACATGGCCACCGAGGGTAGGAGAGCGACAGCGAAGCTTCCTACCGGATCTGGGGAAATCAGTCAGCTCCGACCCCCCCAGTGCTGGGAGCTGGACCCGCGGCACGGGCCCCACTCTATAAAGAGGCGCACCAGCACTTCACCACCCATCACCCAACGACGACGGCACCTCAACCTACGCACGGAGGCACCGCGGGACCACGACTTCCTCCTCGGGCTCCCGCACCGCATCTCCGCCCCGCTCGGCGGACCACCAGAACTTCCCCCTCTTTTGGCCTCTCGGCCTCCGCCCCCGCGCCCCACCCTTGGGAGGTCCATGATTGGCGGTCTGCCCGCCAGGCCGCCCCCAGACGCGTCCTTCTTGTCCCTTCTCGCTCGTTGGGTCCTTCGGTTCGCCCTCTCTTTTCGGCCCCTTCGTGCTGTTCTTCCTTTTCCTCCCGTCGCCCCGTTCGCCGGCCCCACCGCGATTTGCCCCCGCTCCGCACGCCGGACGGTGGGGCGGGAGGGGGCGACGGCTGCACCTGACCTCAGGACAAAGGCTGACAGCCACGAACTACGAGGAGGAGGAGGAGGAGGAGGATGCTTGTTTTACTTAGATTATGATTGCAGTTCCATTGCGTCTTGCAGCACTTGCGTTGAGCCTGACTTAAACATGATTTGGGGATTGGGGATGGGCTGTTTCACCATTTCCCTTGTGGGATTAAGGAGGAGGAGGAGGTCTCCACCGCAAGTTTACCTCTAGGCCGTTCATCGTTTGCACCGTTCACACCACGCCAGCCAGTACCATATCGGCCAGCCTACCAAGACCAACTGACTAGTTCCAAGCCTCATTCGCACACGTTCTGGCCGCTTACTAAGAGCAGCCTCTGCTGCCAGCGCAGCAAATTGTTCACCAGCCTACTGACCCTTGGTTTCTGCGGGCCTTGATTTACCATGCTACTAGCCTGCAGTTCCTTTACCGCAGCAGCCCGCCTTTTGAATTGCACTTAATTGGCTACCCTGCATGAAAGACTGACGGGTGATCTAGGTATTCGGAAAGGGCGGGTACCAAGGTCAGGATAGCCGAGATCTACCACCTGGCAGGCGCCTACTCTTTTTACTCTTGCTTGCCGCGCTGTTTCTCTTTCCACGGCTGCGGCGCCTGCCAGGTGGCCTGCCTGTGCCTCCACGTCAAGTCGGTTTGGACCTGTACACGTTCATCGTTTTTCTTACAAACGCAACAGCTTGTCAGTTCATGTCGGTCTAACGTTAGAAAAGAGGAGGATAATATCGATACAGGTAATAATGAGGCGCGCGCGGGATCCAGCGTCCACTTGAGCGCGCAGGAAACACGACCGATTGTGCGGACAATTGCGCGGAAGTTGCCCGCGTAAGGTGGCGCATGATCGCCATTTTCCACGCGGCGTAATTACCGCGCTGGCGACATGCGCAAGCCATCGCGTAAGGTCGCCATGTCCTCGTGCACAAGACTCCTTCTCTTTCGTTCGGATGTCGCCCGCAGACGAGTATGGAGGTTTTGGTGCGACAGTGAGGGCCCTCCAGATGGAGCCTCGCCTTCGAGGGGTCGAGAGCCCGACGTCCCGCGCAGGAGGAGGGAGGGGGGAGGGAGCGAGGGAGGGAGGGAGGGAAAAGGAGGAGGAGGAGGCAGCGGAGGAGGAGGAGGAGGAGGAGGAGGGACAGGAGGACAACGATGATCTCTGAAGACGAGCCATACTTTTGGGGACGCGGATTATCTTCTCCTCGTTGTGTTTGTTGGAGCCTGGGGCTGTCCTCTGGCCGTATGCTGCTGCTGCTGCTGCTGCTGCTGCTGCTGCTGCTGTTGGTGCTGCTGCTGCTGCTGCTGCTGCTGCTGCTGCTGCTGTTGCTGGTGATGCTGCTGCTTCTGCTGCTGCTGCTGCTGCTGCTGTTGCTGCTGCTGCTGCTGCTGCTGCTGCTGCTGCTGCTGCTTGGCCTGCCCTCGTCCCCCCCCCCGCCCCTGGGGGTCTGGTATCAGTCTTGCGTTCTCCTGTCCTCCTCCCCTCCTAATTCTTCCCCAGCCGGCGTTCGCTTGCCCGACCTTGGCTGATCTGTTGTATAGCGGCATGCCTAACTGCAGGACCCCGCGCGGAGAGACAGACAGGTTCATAGATCTCTTCATCGTCTCCAACTTGGCCCAGGCTCGAAGGAGCAGCTGCCAAAGGACCTGCCATCTCCCAGGGAGTGGGGGACCGCCTTCAGGTCCAGGCCGCCCAAGCGGGACCGGAGCAGGTGGGGTCGTAGCACCCCGATTTGTTTCAGCCCGACGCCGCCGCTGCGTCGCGGAAGCACCGGCGATGCGGTCCGTTCTTCCGACCTTGTCTGCTCGGGCCCCTTCTTGGGCAGCCTTCGTTCCCAGGGCCGTGGCCCACCTGCCTCATAAAGGGGCGGGGGCCAATCAAACAACCAGACAGACCATCCTGAGCTCAAGAACCACCCAGAATTGTTCAAACGCAACCGGGCTTGGCATGTTTGGGTTTGGAACCTGTGGAAGGTCAATGTGTTTTCTGTTTGCCCCCCCCGCCCCTGCATGGGGCCAGTGGACCGCGGCCTCAGGTCCGCGGAAGAGGCTATACACCACCATGCCTGCCCAGGGCCATCGTGAGCTCCAGGACTGTGCCTACGAAGACTCTCCTGGCCTCGGCCAGGGGGGCCTGTGCACCTTGCGGGAGACCAAGGTGGCCCTGGACAAGCACGCTGGCGGTGTGTACGGCCTCCCTCCGCGCATCAGCATCAGGGAGGCGAGGGCGGCGCGGCCAGCGCGATGCCGGCCGGGCAGGGCAGGGCCAGGGCCCGCGGCGGGGTGCTCCTGGCGCTTGGCGGCGCCTCCGCGCTCCTGGCGATCCACGCGCAGGCGCCCAGCGCCTGGGTCGGGGCCAGCTGGCCACAGCCGCGCGCGTGGGCGCCCTCCCGCGGTGGCGGCAGCCGCGACGGTCCGATGACCCGGCGCGCAGTGGAGGTGCTTTCTCGCGAACTTCGCTGCCGTCGACGATCTAGGAGGTTCCAGGATCGAGGTTCGCTTCCGTTTTGCATTTTTCGAGGCCTGTGGCAGCCAAGAGGGGTGAGGTTTCTGAAGTCTTTTGTTTTCTGGGGGCATCCGAGGCCTGGGGAGACTTAGAGACCCTCGGACCTCTGGCGTCACAGGAAAATCGTGACGGCCAGCTTCTCCTCAGTGGGCCTTTGGAGGCTTGTTTTTGGCCCAGGGTCCCGAGCTACTTGAGAAGAAAGCCCTGGGAGAAGGGGCGAGAGGTCTGGGGTCTCGAAAATAATGAGCTCGAACTTCAGAATGTTGATGTTTTCCCCCTGGCGATTTTGGGAGCCTCGTGGTCGTGGCCTGACGCAGCTCGAGAAAAAGGGCCAGGATGGACCCTGTGAGGGATGCAGGGGCCAGATTTTGATAGATTTCGGTCAGGGGGCTGGGGGGCGGGCAGCCTTCTGTTGTGAAGACCTTGCGGGCATGACCAATCCCCAGTACTGCGGGTTCTCCTTGTAGACCTCCAGGAAGTTGCAGTGGATATTCTGCTGGCAGTCGTCCAAAGATGCGTCCGCCAGAAGGCGCGCCGCGTTCTCGATCTTGGGGGCTGGCATCTCGATTGTGCCCTCGGTGGCGCGGTACAGGAGGCCCCAGCATATCTCCTCAGTCTCCCAGCCTTCCTCCAAGTCCTTCCCCTCGTTGATCGCATCCTCGCCGAGGCACGTCCTGGTGCCGTCCAGCGCGGTGGCGCCACCCTGCGCTGCGCTGGTGCCGATGTCTGGCTCATACATCAAGAACAAGCTATATACGGGGACAGTGTCGTCCCATCGCGCGTCTGCTGGACGATAGGCCGCATGACGGCACTTGGCCACCCGGCCCATATCATCCTCTCGCTTGGGCTGTCTGTCCATTTGAACGTGAGCACCATGTAGACGGCCGTGATGAGTGTTGCCACCTCCACGTGCCTCCTTCGAGGTCGGCATCGAAGATGCAGGCGTCCATCTCGTGCATCACATCCCAGCGGACCGCATCCTTCACGTCCTTCTTGGCTAGGTAGAGCTCAACGCCTGGCAGTCGGGCCTTCCAGCACGGGGTGATGCGCGCCAGGTCCTCGCGCCTCGGCTGGTCAGCCAGGGGTTGGTCCTCCTTCGGGCAGCTCTCATTGGGCACAGTGCCGTCCCATATCAGCCTGCCCTTGTCGCTCACGGCGCGGTCCATGTTCTGCTTGGGCACGCGCGCTATTGGGGAGCTGACTACCCTGCTGAGCAGGTGCTCGTGGACGCTGGTGCATAGCAAAGACCCTGCCCGCGGTCGCGTCTTTCCATAGAGCGTCCATGACCTCGTCGAGGTGATCCGTGGCGCCGAGGTGCGGCAAGGCCTTGAGACGCGTCGGTGTGTCCCTGAACCTCGTCCTCGCACCCTCTTTGGCCACCCTCCGAGCATGATCCAGGAGGGCGCCATCTACCAGCAGCTCCAGAGTCTCGTCGAAGATGCCTCTCGAGTGGCGGCCGTGCCTCTCCCACCATACTCTTCGCAGCACCACGATGGTTTTTTCGAAGGAGCCCGCTTCCACGAGAACTGAGTCGCTTGCCCACCAAGCTCGGGTCGTATTCCTGGTGCTCCTGGAGAAATCGTAGTATGTCCCCGCCGCCACGTCTTCGAGCTTGGGGGAGCCTGGGTGGGCGCCCGCTGCCTTCGTCCTGGCCTCCTGAGCCTCCTCGCCTCCTCCCTCAAGCTCTCCTGTCCTTGTGGACGCTTCGTTGCCTCCACCAGCCTCCCCGTGCTAACATCCCTCCCCCCCCTGAGCTGACAAACTTCTGTACGGCCTCCTTTGCTGGCCAACCTGATCGCTTTAGCACCGTCTGCGCCTCAAGCTCGGCCATCTCGTGCGAGTAGGTATCGCTCCTCTTCGTGGCGGCCTTGCCCTAGACCGCGTCGTGCACCGGGCCCGCGCTGCAGCGCAAGCTGAGGGCCTGAGCGACGTCATCAGACGTCGTGGCGATGCGCGTAGGCTTAACGTTAAGCCCTCCAGCTGCGCTGCGCAGATTGAGGGCGCACTGGTCCAGGCGCACCTGCCGCCGCAGGGGGTCCGCCAGCAGCTGCTCAAGATGCTTCCAGGCCGCTGAGAGCCAGGGGTTTTCGGCCGAGCAGCCCCTCTTCGCTGCACTTCTCTTCGCCGTGATCCGCTTGGCCATCGCGAGAAACAGCCCGCCCTCTTGCTTAATCTGGGACAAGTCAACTCCGCGGGACTCGCTGAGGGCCACGAACGCGCAGGACGCCGTGCATGGCGAACTGATCCACGTCTCGTAAGGGTCGTACGTGGTCACCAGAGCCAGGAGAAGGCACCGATCCTTCCTCCTGCGGCGGTCCTGCCCGTGCTGCACGCCGATCGTGATCGCTTAGCCGCCGTTCTGCTGCACGATCGCCTGGGAGATCTGGGCCTCGCCTGTGAAGATCCGCTCGAAGTCCAGAAGTCAAGGCGCGTGCCCTGTGGCGGGGGCCCCATCGCCTGATCCTCGAGCCACTCGCGCATCTCCGCCTCGTGGAGATGGGCAGGCATCTCGCCCGCCTTGGCGCCCTCATCCTTCTCGCCCTCCTCAACCTCTCCTGCCGCGGTCTTCTCCAGTGAGCGGGTGGAGTTGGCGAGGGTCTCCTCGCTCAGGACCCCCTCAGAGAATCCCGACGCTGGTTTCCTAGGGGCAGCGATCCCCGCCGCCTCCGCGCAGCGCTGACAAGCAAGCGCTCCGGGTGTGCGGGTGGCGACCTGGTCGCGAGCGCCAGCTCGAGCAGTGCTTCCCAGCCCAGCGCTGGAAGCTCCTGGAAGTCGACGCCCGCCCCGTAGAGATGGCCGAGAACCGCCGAGCTCGGGGCGACCGGCGCCCGCATACGCCCTTTGTGCACCAGGGCCCGCAGGATGTCCGCCTCCTGGCGAGTGAACTCCGAGCCCGTGATAAGTTCGACCGCCGCCCTGTCGTAGACTTCCACGCGGATGGCCCCTAGGGCCCCGTGTCGTAGTAGGGCCAACGGGGGAGCAGCGTACATGCGGTAGATCTTGTCGTGGTCCCTGCAGGTGAGGTCATGGCAGCCTCAAGCCCTTCTCTTGGACCTCGATCGCCGAGGGCCAGCCCCGGGGCGGCGTCAGGTCGTTCCCGATTATGGCCGCCGCCGCCACGTTGATCACGGCGAACTCGCGCAGCTCGACCTCGGGCGGCTCGGGGCGGGCCGCGCGGTGGACGCCGCCCAGGGATGCCACCGCCTCGGCGCCCAAGGCCACAGGCAAGCTTGTCCCGGGAGTCAAGCGTAGCCCATTCGAGCCTACCCATGGTCAATGTGCCCTGTCTGGGCTCATCATCTGCACCCCAAGCGATGGGGCCCACCTTGGCCTGACCAGGGGTGACCTCGCCCACCGTGCCTCGTTGGTAGTTGTGCCTCAGGAGCGCCTCCGCCGCCTCTGCCAGCTCGGGGCACCCGAACTCGACCGCGTGGGCCGCCAGCGCCTCGACGTCGCACGCCTCGTCCGTCTCCCTGGCTGCCCGCACACTGTTGCGCAGGTAGCATCCGAGCAGCTTTGTCGCCTCGGCCACGTGCTGCAAGCTCGGGTCCGCGCCGATCTCGCGCATGCCATCCTTGCGCCTGGCAAGCTCAGGCGTCGACTCGGGCAGCGGGGCCCTCTGTTGCGTCGCCTGGCGGTGGTTGGCCAACCACTTGGCGTCGGGGCCCTGCGTGGCGAGGCGCAGGTGCTCCTCTAGCTTTGCGGGGTTGAACTCCTTCGGCTCATGGGGCGCCTCCGTCCATCCCCGCGGTGAGTCGTCCCGCCCGCGGCCTTGGCCGCTGGGCTCCCCCTGCGAGCAGCGGGCGCTCCTCCTTTGGCTCCTCTGCCTCCTGCTTGCTGCCATGGGACTTGGCGCCCCGACTGTTCCTCTCCTCTGGCCGCTGAGTCCCTGCAGCCTCCCGCGCACAGCACGTGGGTCCCGCCATTAGCCACGTGCGCGATCCTGTCAGCCTCGCAGACGCCCACGCTCGGCCCTGACTCGATCCCGGAGTTCGGGTCCACCTCCTCTGCTTCAGCCGGGCCCTTCCCTGGGCGCGGGCGCCGCCGGTGCCGCTCGGCGCAGCCCAGGCCTCGGCGTGCCCAGGAGCAGCGAACCCTTCCCCCGATCCTCGCACGCCCCGCTGGCGCGAGGTTGGCCAGGTCCGCCATGTTGACCTGGGCGCTGTGCTCGGCCGCGCAAGGGGAGCACAAGCGCGCGGAATTATTCTCGCTCTCGGGAGGGGTGCAAGGCATGGCCGCGCATAAGTGGACCATACCGATGCCGCCCTCGTCTCGAGATGCCCCCAGGTCCGCTTTGAGGTGGCGGTGGGGGCTGCCCTTGATCTCCCCGAACTGGTGAACATACCGGTGCCGAGTAATGCGACTACCCATGCGGAGTCCCTGCTCGAGCCTCGCCACCGAGCCGCCCGATTTGATGATGAGGTCTTTCGGCGTCGTCTTCTCAGCTCCTCCTCCTCCTCCCCCTGCTCCTGCCCCTGCTCCTTCCGTTGCCATTTTGGCTCAAGTTGGGGGCAGGCCCCTTTTGAGCGCGGCAGCTCTCTTCTGAGGGCAATCTGGGGTCAGACCCAGGCGGGCGCTCCATATCCCCAGCCGCCTCATTTTGTGAGCGGCCACATGGCGGGCAGCGCAGCGACGGCTCCTGGTGATGACACACTCGCTCGCATACTCTCGGGCATCGAGGGCCTGGGCACTCGAATGACCCAGGTCGAGGGCCACCTCGGCGACATGAAGGCCATCAGGGAAGAGGTCTTCGCGCATCATCAGAAATTCGAAGTTCTCGCCGAGCAGCTGGCTAGCGTGCAGGCCACAACGGACGTGATGAGCGACGCACTGGCAAATCTAGGGGAATCCGACGTTATCAAAAGACTGCAGACCCAAGCCGACACTACCGCGCTGCAGCTGAAGGAGTTGGCTGGACAGGTGGCCAACGACA